CTATCAACATTGGGTACACTGAGATGTCATAGTTTGAAGATGAGTCTTTATATATTTGCGTGTCTGGTTTCCTCACTTGGAAAAATAAATTTGCAGGTTTGCTTGCAGTCTGCTCAGACGAGAGATGAAGCAGATAACAATCAGTTTAGAAACGCCAGAAATTCAGGCTCTAGAAAAGATGCACGACAAGTCTGCTATAGTAAAGGTACCTCTATGAACATTAAATATTTGTGGTTATCTTTTAAACTGTTTCAGCCACCAAACTATACATGCTCTCACCTGTTTAGTTGGACACAAGAAGTACATATTGAGCTTAACTTTGTAAGAAACCATGGTTGAAGGCATCTTCAGTTCTAAATGAGTCGAAAAGATGCATCAACAATGAAAACGCAGACACATTTAGCATCCTCCTGAAGTGCTAGTCATGCATGCTGACTCAAAACTGTGGCTGGCGTTCCCCCAGTAAAATCAATTTCTAACTCGTAATAGGATTTCGTAATCCAATTAGATTTGTGGGCTCATTGTTAAGTATACCCGATGAAGTATTCAGCAGTTTACAGCATGTGACGTGCTGCTCCTTGGCTCTGGCTGATGACTTTCTTCTGTTGCAAGACCAAGAGAAGACAGTTGTATGACCTAATGTTGGCAGTGGGTAAATCCATATAGTTAAGATGATTCTACATGGAAACTAAATGAAGTGATGGTTGTCTTTTAGGCATCAAAGGATAGTGTTTGCCATCAGATCGCAAGAGGGAAGGAATCATTGGCTACATCAAGTGGGGCCTCAGGAGAAGTTGCTTTAATCGTTGATGGAAAATCACTTGGATATGCTCTGGAAGACGACGTGAAGGACAAATTTTTAGCGCTTGCACTCGGCTGTGCATCTGTTATTTGCTGTCGTTCGTCACCAAAACAGAAGGCATTGGTGAGTTATAATATTCATTTCAAACTTTCCACGACGGGGTACCTCACTTGCATAAATGTTTTATTGTACTAAACGTAGCAAAACAAATGATCCTATGAAATAACTTGCATAATGTTTTATTATAATAAACTTAGCAAAATAGACGATCCTTTAAATAATTTGATTTTATTGCCTGAACTGATAAAACATAGGTCACAAGACTGGTCAAGTCCGGAACTGGGAAAGTAACATTGGCTATAGGTGACGGTGCCAATGATGTAGGAATGCTTCAAGAAGCAGATATTGGAGTTGGAATTAGTGGTGCCGAAGGAATGCAGGTGCCTGACATGCCGTTATAATACCTTCAGAATTATGTAATCCACCTGCAACAATTGTGTTGTTTTCTAATACCTTTTATGTTTCTCTTTGGTTGTTATTTAAACTTTTCAGGCAGTCATGGCCAGTGATATTGCAATTGCACAGTTTCGATACCTCGAACGCCTGCTACTCGTCCATGGGCATTGGTGTTATAGAAGGATTTCAATGATGGTAAAGACCTTTGACGTATTCATTTGAAGATAAGGACATGATCATTGGTTGGCATGTTATTATCTCTTTGGCAAAACAAGATAAATAAATAAATAAATAATTTGGTCTCTTGAATGAGGGACAAGCATACCATCCATAGAATGAAGATAAATGTTGTTTTTATCAAGTAAAGCTTCATGTGGTGATGTTGCTCGGTTTTTTCTGCCAGATATGCTACTTTTTCTTCAAGAATATCACGTTCGGTTTCTCCCTCTTCTTATATGAGGCACATGCGGCCTTTTCAGCACAACCTGCATACAATGACTGGTTTCTGTCACTTTATAGCGTCTTCTTCTCCTCACTTCCTGTGGTTGCTCTGGGAGTTTTTGATCAGGATGTATCGGCAGGGTTGTGTCTAAAGGTATGCCTGTCTTCTTAATATGTAACTTTTATTACTGTTGAAAACATTTTATGGCCAAGCTATTCATATTGTGAATATCATGTCTTATGATCCTCCACAGAATATATGCGATTGTGATTTTCTTTCTTGCGCATGGGCATAATTCAAGCATCCAGGGAATTTTTAAAGTTAGGCTTGTTTAGCTCCCTGAATGCCTTCGAATTTGTTTTTTTATTTTTGGTTAGAAGCTTTGGATCGTCCCTAAAAATTGTGTCAACAAAAATGCCCTTTGAGATCTCTCAGCATCCTCATTGATCATTAGGGCCTGTTTGCTTTGTTTATCGATGCTAATTGAGAACGGTTGGAAACAGTAACTTGATTTTTTCGGAGTATTTTTGTTTAGTTCAATTCATTCTCAACTTTCGTGTGGCAGTTCCCTAGGCTATACCAAGAAGGGGCTCAAAATCTCCTCTTCCGCTGGGTTCAAATACTCGGCTGGATGTTTAATGGGTTCTGTAGTGCAACCATAATTTTCTTCTTGTGCACAAGCGCACTGGAACACCAAGCATTCAACAGCGACGGACACGTTGCTGGGAGGGACATCTTGGGTACAACAATGTACACCTGCGTCGTATGGGCAGTGAATCTGCAGATGGCAATAACCACAAGGTACCTCACCTTAATACAGCACATAGTCATCTGGGGCTCGATCATATTTTGGTACCTCTTCTGTTTGGCATTTGGAGCTATGTCTCCCACTCTATCTACTACTGCCTACAAGCTCCTTGTCGAAGCCCTCGCACCATCGCCGGCCTTCTGGGCCGTGACGCTTTTCGTGGCGATCTGCACCGTTATCCCATATTTCACTTACTCGGCAATTCGGATGGAGTTTTTTCCCATGTACCATGAAAGGATCCAGTGGATCAAGCACAAAGGAGGGATTGAGTGATCCTCCGGAGTGCGATATGTTGAGGCAGATGTGATTATGACCGACAGATGGCTTATGGGTTAATTCATTCTGTAAATCTTGCAGTCCAGGAATACTTATTCCTGCAGACCCGTCTAATTTCGAAGAATCCTCGAGTATACGATTTTACGAGCGTGGAGATCCACCGGCTCTGCATAAGCCGAATTCGTTCTCCGGATGTGATAGACAGAGTAGATACATTTCGAAGTTTTGCCTACTATCATCAAGCTTTAGATGTGCTTGATTTTGGGCGGACTAAAAAAAAACAGTAGAGGAGAAATAGCCGTACCATATGTTAGCTTTGCTGTAGATTCTCAAATTATAGGAGACGTATACTCCACACAATTTTCTCATCTTTGTAATGAATTACAGGAGACGTATACATTGTCGATTCAGGCCGTGCAGCCCTTTTGGCAACCTGTATATAATAGATGATGTATTTTGTTGATGAGCGTTCGGGAGTGTTTGTTAAACAACCAATTGAGGAAACTATTCCAATGCACTGTTCGCCTTCGAGTATCCTGAAAAAGTAAAGTACTACTTAACGGGTTATCATATATCTTTCACAAACGCCTCTGAAGAATTTTCTCCAGCGTTGCTAAGGAGGATCATGGATTGTTAGAAAAGTCTTCTTCTTACAAGAAATGGATTTGTCGCGTTCTCCACCAAAGTATGAACAATTGTCATTGTGCCGCGAGACATGATACTTGTGCAAACAACTAAAGACGTAGCAATGTTTGCTAACAAAATGCCCCATTTCTATTGTGCAAGTCACATTCGAATACCTATGTGTAAACCATATTTGATCGTCACATGTAACATATTTAATTGCTTTTGTTCATAACTGATTTAAATCGAAGGTTGGTATTAATTTCAAATTTTCGTAACTGATTTCGAAGAGATGAATTTTTTTTTTACTCAATTCTTTCGTTTAATTGAAAGATAAATATCATCAAACTAAACTCTTTTACTTAACTTTCAAGGATCAACTAATATTCTCTTTAGACTTGGGCTATTTTCACTTCACAAATAACTTTAGACACAACCCGAACTTTACATGGTCCAAAATAGCTTGTAAGATTGATGAAATAGAAAAGATATGCCTTTAATGTAGATCGGTTATTCTAATGATTTATCAACCTTTCTTTATATAATATTAATAAAGTACATATATTACTATGTCCCTTTAATGTTTAATTTTTAATAACTCCTTGTGATGGACAACATAATTTTTTTTTTGGTTAGATATATACAACTCTTTAGTTCGAGCTTTTTTAGAGGAGTTCTATGGTTAAAGTTGTGAACTATTTATGATTTAAGATATGTCCATTAACAAAGATTACCAACCTCATGAAAATCGGCTTGAACACATTAGTAAGTAGAAGAAAGGCAATGAAGTTTGTATACAAACGAAAGGAAAATAACATAAAGTGGTGAATAAAACATCATTGTTTTGATTAATACCAAAATTTTAAAATTTTCATGACAATGTGCGGCTTTTGCATATTCAATAATTTGTAACTTTCCATTTGTGATTTTTTATTAATGAATTTTTTGAGGTTCTTTTCGTCAACTTAGTAAGTTGGAGAGTGCTATAGCCATTTAGAGTGTGAAACTAGCACGACCCTATCTTTAATATCTATAAGCCTGTATAAACGAATGCATTTATTTGAGACATTCTAAAGTACATTCAAGAATGTCTCTAAAGAAGTCATTTAGGATTTCAATTTCCAAATTTATATAGAAATTAAGTTTGAATGTTGATTGTAATAATTCTATACGAAGAAAGAAGATTGTCAAAGATTTCAAATTTACGACAGAGAAATAATCCAGGATTTCTCTCCACAACAAAAAGGATGTTGAATGAGATATATATGTTTTGTGTGTTTTTTACTCACTCAATTTTGCCAAACCTCCACCTTAGCATATAGAATTTTGCTATAGGAGTTTGCTAAAAAATAACCATTAAGCTCTTTCGCCCATATATACATGCATTAAAGACATAACGCATTTTCTATAATCTTGATTAAATCTACTTTTTCACTAAATACATTGAACTAAACATTTGACATTAAACGACAGTTTTAATTATTCACTAAATACATAGAGGTTCTAATCCATTAGAATATTTTGTAAATGTGGGCTTTTCACCTTTTCCACCAAAAAGGATTTTGATAGACTTTTTCAGGTTGGCTAGACTATTGAACATTTTGAATATTTCATCGTAGAAATTTATGATAAAATGAAGGAATTCGGTGAGAAAATGAATGATTTACATACAGAAAACTTGGAGAAAGGGTTGGTCATTCCCGTTGAAGGAGAGACATCGATTTCAATCATCCTTTTTCTTTGTACAGAACTCTCCTTCTCCTTCCTGGACACAGCCTTGCAGGCCACAGACAAAATTCAAGCTAAAACCTAAAAGCCAACCAGGACCAAGTCATATCATTCACAATCTTCATTGGACGGATCTTGGTTCATGATTGCCCATGGAAACTGAATCATGATGAATCACTGCCTCCTAAGCGAACGCAGACCAAGAAAATCGGCAGCGGACCGGGCCATGATGGTGGCGAACTCCTGGAAGCTGATGACACCGTCACCGTTGGTGTCAGCCTCCCTCATCATCTCCGACAGCTCGCGGTACGTCAGGGGATGACCCATCTTGGCCATCGACCCGGCCAGCTCGGCCGGCGTGATGTAGCCGTTGCCGTCGCGGTCAAACAGACGGAACACCTCCGCCAGCTGCTCCTGGTTGACAAAGACTTGCTCGGTCATGTTGGGCAGCAGGGCACTGACCAGCTCGTCAAACTCGACCGAGCCGTTGCCATTGGAGTCCATGTCGGCAAGCATGGCGTGGATCTGGTCGCCGGTCGGCTTGAGGCCGAGGGAGCGGAGGAGGGCGGCAAGCTCGAGCTGCGTAAGGCTGCCGTCGGCGTCCATGTCGAAGCGCGCGAAGATGTCCCTGAGCTGCTTCAGCTGCTCGGATTGGAGGGCAGCAGAAGCAGCAGCCATTGAGGAAGATCAAATTGGATGGTGTCTGAATGAATAATAATGGAAGTTGTTTGCGTGTTTGTTCTGTTTTGTTTCATTTAAGACGTGGGGCTGGCTGAATGTTCCTTGTTTTTGTGGTGGAGGCCTATTAGAGAATGGTCCAAACCAGAATGCGCGTTGTTTGTGATAGATGTTGAAAAATGAAAACTTGTAGAGTCGATTGGTCTTTAGTTTTGGTTTTTTGTCCTTCGTGTGGCCACCTATCATTAGTAAAAAAAAAATTCTGCCGTATAGGCTTCCGTTGACTATTCAAGATCCTCTCATCCAAGTGACCCAAATTATGGTGAATGAATCTTTTAATTTCGGAGGCTATTGAAGCCAGTCTGTAAGAGCAAACAAGTTGTCTTACGTCTCATCCGTGATGCGGGTCGATGATAACGAAAGGAATGGCACAAAAAGATCTATAGTTCGACACGATCGGATATCGCAAGCGGACTATTGTTTACAGGGTGAATAAGTTCAAGAGAACATATTTAGAAAGTCGGATGTGAAAGAGTCCGAGGAAAACCGGACCTGTCCGCGATGGCAATCTTGGTTTTCCCACTCCATCCTTTCGTTCTGGTTGAAAGGTCTCGGCTTTGTCCAAATTTGTGTTCGCTCTCAGAAGCTGATCTTGACATTCGGATAACTGTTGGTAAGTCCATTTGGCCAAATCACTCCTGGGACGTTTCCTCCTTAAACCTTTTATCTTCCGGCGGAGATCGTAAACGTCGCATGTGGTATTCCAGTCCCTTGCTTGTCCCCATTGACCGACTCCATCATCTGGTCATGCACGAGGGCGGGTTCTTTTACTGTGTATGATGGTTTTAGGAGCCGAAAATTGAATAAAGAGCTTGATTATCCTGATGAGATTTTGATTGGCCGAAGACTAACATCTCGTCAGAAAAGTGGAGAGCCGTTAGATGTAATGCGTGTGCACGAACCTAGAGAGAATCAATCTTGCTCGCCGAGATCGCTCGCTTCGAAAGTCAACTTCTTTAAGGAGCTTCAACACCATGAACTTGTTTCTACACTCCCCTACAATTTTGACTGAATACTTGCTTCTCCAGAAACACAATACATACAGAGATGTTCGTATCCAGGACCTAAGATAACTTTTACCTGATGGCAACGCATGAAATGGACAGCAATCTCTCTTCCGTCCAAATGAGGAAAGAACTTGTGAACAGGCCTTTTCCATTCAAAAACAGAGGAAAGAACTTGTCAATGGGCTAGAAGAATGTTCATCACAATGAATGGATTCGCTGAAATGACGCTTACAAGAACTCCTAAGATGAACATCAATGGAATGGGGTCAAACTCTCGGCCACAATCTCTCATCAGCCACATACTGATTTTAAATAGACACTAATCCAACTTTGAGATATACCAACCTCTGGCAGAAAATCAAAGTCCGTGCGAAAGCTAACGAGAGAGCACATGCAAATGAAGTGCGTCTCCAAGCCCTGGCCTGGCCATCACCTCCCTCGTTTGCATCTCCGACCTGTGCCAGCTGGTCCCGTTGCCTTGCCAATTCTTCAGGTTGGACCACCAGACGGGGCTCTCCACTCCCGTACCTCTACCGGACATGCCTTCCGAGTTACGCGTGAAGATCTTCGAAAGCGTCCATGGCTTCTTTTGCCTCAATGCCGGAGATGTCACTCGCGTGTGTAACCCCAGCACCAGGGAAGTCACAGCCCTCCCTCTCACCGACCCTGAGTTCCCCGCGGGTCTCCAGGGCGGGATCGATGGCTTCGCCGCATTAGGACACTCAGGCTGCGACCACATATCCCCCGATTGTAAAAATTCGTTTCATATGTTTGGTGCAATATAAGATAGGATTTAGAATATTTGAAAACCTTAGAAAATCCACGATCTAAGATAAGATTGAAAATATTTGAAAATTTTTCTCATTTGAAATTCTTTGAAAATCCCATCTGTCTTTGCTCTTCCTGAGGCTCAAACCCTCCCATCTCTTACTTGGCTCCTCCTATACGATCACATGGGAAGTCGACCTCAGGAACATGAGGTCTCTTAACCGACTTGAGCGTGAACAGCCGGAGGCACTTCATGTGGGTTGTACGGCCAAACTCCATTGCTGAAGAAAGCGGCTGAGAGAGCGACAGCGAAGAAGGTGTGCTTTGTGGATCAGACCCACAGGATGAGCTTTTGCACCACGGAGCATTTTCGATGCACAGCGGGAACTCAACGCTCAAGAGTGTGGTCGCCAAGAAGCTGATAATGCGCTGGCCGTTCTTCATCAACCAGCAGGTGAACAACCGGCTCATAAGTCATGCATGAAAGGTCAGGTTCGACATGAACGATGTACGCAACTCTAGTGGAAAGGATGATCTATGCAAACCTAGCATGACGATGGTCTTTAGGCCCCTTTTCATCCTCACTTTGTCGGATTATGATTGCCAGCCGGGCAGTGACGATCTTGCGGTGGATGGAAAGGACGATGTAATTTTGGTGGTGGTCCTCAAGCGAGCGGTGCCAGCAAAACAATATCCAATGTGTCATTTTATCACTCGGTTAAAAGAAAAATATAAAATTTTTAATTAATTTTTAAATTTTATATCCAATCCGGGTTTATCCCACTCGGTACTCCCTAGACTAGATTTCTTATCCCGATGTATTCAGTTTATTTGGTCCGGAGAACGCGAATTCAAAAATGGAACCGGCAACAGCAGCTCACGTTGCCACTCTTAGCTTGACAACCAAGATATTTTGTAGAATAAATTTGGCTTAATATACGTCGTACCATCGTATAGTATCAAAACAAATGTAATTTGGCCCAGAATACGACAAAGCGTCGTACCTTTGTACTAAAAAAAATTTCTAATTTTTACGACGTATAATACAAAGCAGACACATTTACAAAACATCGTATCATATTGAAGATTGATGTACGACGATTTTGGCTTTCAGTACTAGCTAAACGCCATACGCCTTGGTAAATATCATATAAAATGTTGGGAAAATTTCAATCTGGGGTCCAAAGTGGGGCCATTTTCTCAAAATGAGGTCTCAACTGGACTTAGTGCCAAATTGATACCCAAAGTCCCCAAAAAGTGTCATATAAAGTGCGGGTCGCCGTAGGCTGATCGCGATCGTATTCCGGCGAACGGAACAGTGCTTTTATATTTTTTTTTTCTTTTTTCTATTTTTTTCTTTTCCTTTTCCTCTTTTTTTTTCTCCCTTCCCTCCGCCGGCCATTGCCGGGGCCGGCGGAGGTCGTCGGCCGGGGGGAGAAGGAAAAGAAATAAAAAAAAAAAAGAAAAAGGAAAAAATTCGAAAATAAAAAAAATTATTAAAATATTGCCACGTGGGCCGGCGGAGGCTCATTGATAATCGGCCAGCGGCGCGTCGGCAACCGTCAAAAGGACCGAATTGGCTGGTTTGCAAAAGGTTTAGGAGGCGAATTGGCAAAAAAAAAGGTTTATGATGAATTGGCACAATCGCAAAAGGTTTAGGACTTTTTCGAGCGGTGCCAACAAAACAATATCCAATGTGTTATTCTATCACTCGATTAAAAGAAAAATATAATTTTTTTAATTAATTTTTAAATTTTATATCCAATCCGGGTTTATCCCTCCCGGCACTCCCTAGACTAGATTTCTTACCCAGATGTATTCAGTTTATTTGGTCCGGAGAACACAAATTCAAAAATGGAACCGGCAACAGCAGCTCACGTTGCCACTCTTAGCTTGACAACCAAGATATTTTGTAGAATAAATTTGGCCTAATATACGTCGTATCATCGTATAGTATCAAAACAAATGTAATTTGGCCCAGAATACGACAAAGCGTCGTACCTTTGTACTAAAAAAATTTTCTAATTTTTACGACGTATAATACAAAGCAGACACATTTACAAAACATCGTATCATATTGAAGATTGATGTACGATGATTTTGGCTTTCAGTACTAGCTAAACACCATACGCCTTGGTAAATATCATATAAAATGTTAAAAAATAGAATACAAGATCTGCCGTAAGTACAACAAAATGCTGTACCTATGGGTAAGACTTCGTAGAACATTAAAATATAATGTACTTGGATTTTGGCCTCACGTACAATTAAATGTGGTGTGGCTATATACATATATATAGGCGTACGACGATTAGCCTTAAATACAATACAATGTTTACGCTTTTGGTAAGATATCTCGTCATATTAAAAAATAATGGACGGTGATGTCGGCCTTAAATACGATCGAATGTCATATGCCTTGGCAAAACGTCGGACAATATTAAAACAAAAACATACAGCGATCGGTCTTAAGTATGACAGAACATTGTACGTTCCACTAAGACACGGTTTTATGTTAGGGTTAATACCACGAAAAACCTCAAACTAGTACACCTGTGATAATTTTACGCCAAACTAATTTTTTGACCACAAAAAACCCCAATCCGGTACACTTGTGACAAATTTACCCTCAGTTTGTTTCCGTTAAATTTTACCGTCAAATTACTTTGTTCAATGACACACGACAGTTAACTGATGTACTAGTTTTATGTTTTACCCTCCATTTGTCACAGGTATACCAGTTTGTGAATTTTTGTGGTATTAATTCAATTTAATGGAAACTAACGGAGGGTGGATTTATCACAAATGTACCAATTTGGGGTTTTTATTGGTCAAAATATTATTTTGGGGTAAATTTGTCACAGGTATACCAGTTTGGGATTTTTCGTGATCAAAAAAATAGTATAGTGTAAAATTATCACAAGCGTACCAGCTTGGGGTTTTTCGTGGTATATATTAACCCTTTATATTATTAAGCAACATACCGCAATTTTGGATTGGAATACGGGGAACCTCATACAATCATACTACATAGAATTCCCACTTCACGAAGGTACGATGTCGGGGCGTACGTACGAGGATATTGGCTACAAGTACGATGATAACTTTACCGACATACAAAAGAATGTATGTGAAAGTCATCTGGTAAAAATGTTTTTGGCTCCACAAGGAGTTTAAATACTGCAGATGGGGATATAGAACAGGTTTTTCGCTGGTATCAATCACAGAATCTACGCTGCAGAAAATGAAATAGCTATGCAAGCACTGCACACGCTAGCAAGCGACAGTCAAATTGAGGATCGCACAAAGTGGCCGCATAATCGCAGCGAAATTCATTAATTCAATCTCTGCTGATCATCTATCAATCAATTGCATCTGCTTATGTTGGTGGTCTTTGCACCCAGTAACACCAATCTACAATATCAGCAAGCAACCGAGCAATGGACAAGATTTTTGCCGCTCGAACGAGTTGTTACTCTTCCAGATGTTCTTCTCGGTGCAATATCAAAAGAACTTCGGGTGTGAGCGACTATTGCAAGTTACACAAGATTTTCTACGGGGAGAACTTTGGCTTTCGGGCAATCGCCCCGATGCGATAACTGTAGACCGGCACACCTTCAAGAAGAGTACAGACGAAAATATTTTACTTGTCTAGTAATGAAAAAGAAATCTAAGACGATGTAGACAACTATCTATATAAGTATATGTTAGCTTAGTACGGAGCAGTGATAACTCTCGACCCACACTTTGTAATATATGATGGAGGCTCTTTACTCACTAATTCTAAATAATGCACACCAGCAGATGCAAACACCATTCGCGAATGTAATAGCTGAACAGGTAATGGCGACGACAACAATAAGTAGAAATTTGCAGTAATCTTTCGAGAGAGCAAGAAATAACAGTAGAATAACGAAGTTCAATGCTTAATAATCAGGTCACTTTGCGGAGATAGATAATCTCTTTTCAATTCGAGACTAAATAGGAAAGAACTTGTAAATTGTCTGCCAGAGAGCTTTGATAAATGAATGCATTCAAATTATAAGAGATGAGGGTTACTCAGACCCGTTCGAACAAAACAAATTCACTTTCTTTCCTCTGGAAGAGCAATTTCAGCTCCTACCCCTGGAAATCTCCATCGATCACTTTAGTTGATCCCAAAAGAAACTAGTCAAAATATTTGAGAAGCCTACCGAGGAACGAAAAACGGAGAAATTCTAGCATGCCAAGCCAATCGAGCATGATGTGAACAATTGATGGTGCCCATAAAAATGGAAAGTAATCGTGATGAAACAGAATGTGCACAAAAGAACCAATTGTGTACAGCATAATCCTAAGAGATGTAAACGAGCAGCAAGTGTCGAAGTAAACATGTGACATATATTAAGGCATTCTTTAGAAGACCATAACCCTGAAAGCACATCAGATGATCAAATATGTGCAGCAATGCTATTTGCCTACACTGCTTCTATCTAAAAGAAGGATTTGTGCGATAGCTTCACGACTAAATCTCACTCAAAGCCAAAATGCTATCCATGTACCCGATGGGTGCACAGGCGACGATCACAGGACTCCTCAATAGAGATGGGGGCAGACCACGAACTTGAACCTTCTTCAGAGTCCCGTTCTCTACATCATAAGAAAGCAAGTACACTTCCCCAGTCGTAACCTTTGGAGCGAGCAAGATTTCTCCGGCACGGACGCTGCCGACGAGAAACCGCTCGGAATGCCTTCGATCCTCTTTCCAACTAAGGGGCAGCACAATTCGACGTTCTGTCCAAACTTGATTTGTATAATCCTCTAGTATATACATTAACATGACATTTTCATCCTCAAGATGTTCATAGTCTAACACCGTCAGACGGCCTCCAAATGCTATTAACTTCATCTTATGCACCTGATCCAAGGCACCATCAGGAAATGTTAACGTCCTAAACTTCTCAGTCCCCACATCGAACACTACGATTATTTTGTTGCTCATCAGGTCAAGCGTCAGGAAATGAATGGCCCCGTTAATGCAAACGCTGCCTCCCCAGGGAAAATCAATAGGGCCACTATCAATTTTTCTCCACGAACTTGTTCCCAATGTCAGAATCTTGTGCGCGGTGATGACTTCACCCGAATGGTTGAGGGCGTTCGAAACCCATGTCTTCATGACTTTGTACTGTTTCGCGACGGGATCAAAACCCAAGGCGCTGAAGCTGTGGATACCACGGTGCAAATGGACAGGGAAATCGGGACCGGTAGGCGGCAGGGCCCTGACCTCTCTGGTGCCGATATTGCATAGGTACGTAAGATCCCCGATGTCGAAGCAAATTAAGCCGTTGACACTTTGTGAATCCTCCCCGGTCGAGTTGATAGTCCGGTCCAGTTGGGGCAGGGGAGTGGCCAATCCAGTATGATGGTCTAAGCTAAAGAACCTGCTGCCGAAGCGACTCGGCTCCATGTTGCCAATGACAGATATGAGCGAGGTAACCTCGGAGCGGCCGAGTGACTGAGCTAAGACTAAATCGGCAAACGACCTGTGGTCGATGATGGAGCGCCATGACTTTGAAACGCACCTGAATCGCAACAGTGTCTTCACTGGCAGTCTTGACAGTACGTTGGAGATTATGTCAGTGGGCAACTCTGCCAAGCCCGCATTTTCTCCGGCAGCCTCCTTCTCTTGAGTTCTTAGCCGCTTCTCCATCGGAGCCTGTAAAAAGCAAGCCTTATCAAAAGATAAACCCTTTTCATTCCAGTGCATTACATTCCCTGTTTCTTGATGGGACCTGTGAGTTTCGAGCCCTGACAAAGAAGAAAACCCAAGAACACAACCGAGCGGAACCTCTGTTGCGGTGAAATAACAAAAGGAACTCCTTTTATAAAAGAAGATCAAGAAGAGAATGTCAGTCTGGCGCAAAAACCCAGGTCAGATACGCGATTGGCCCTATGCATTTCGACAGAAACCGAGCATCGACAATGCCGGCGAAATCTGTCTCCAAAAAACTAAGTAACAGGAAGGAACTGGTCCGAACAAGAACGACGGGTGACCCATTTCGTCTCAGCACATCATCGTTAAGCGAAACGAGCCGGAAAAGTCGTGCTATCCTCTGTTTCCCGTCGAACCCAGAAAAAAGAACAAGAAAAGAAAGGAAAGAAGGAGACTGAAATCTCATACAGGCAGGCGCGCACAACACGACGAGTCTTCTTCGTTCACGGAGCACCCCACTTCGCCGGCGAGAGATTCGTTAACAGAGCGTAAGCGAACAGGGAAGGAACCAACGGCGATCGCAACGACAAAACAGAGCTCGAGAGAGCTCGCGACACGGGTTCGTACCAGCGGAACGCGAAGCGATCCTGAGCCCGGAGTGCCACCGGAGCTTCGAGCGCCTTCATCACCGCCGCCGCCGCCGCCACCTTGCACCGCCATCTTCACGGAGGAGGGTAAGGGGGAAGCGCGTGATCGGGTGGAGGAGGGTCGGCGTCAGGGATCAACGAAAGAAAGCGCAGGTGAGCACGAAACGGGGGCAACCCCGTCGGAGCTGCTGCGGAGGAACAGGTGCATGCAAGAGCCTTTCTCCAGCGGCCCGGCCAATGACCGTGCGCCACGTGGATTGATGCCGTTCGCGGCAAGGCGCCACGACACACCGAGTCACCTTCGCGAAAGGGCCTGTTTATTTCCTTTTTCCGCTATTTGTTCAATTAATATACCAAGTGATGCAACGGAGGTCCCGATTGGGAAATTGTTGAGACCATGGCTCGCTGGGTTTAACGTTCTCCTGCGATCCGCCACGAAACTCGATATGCTCGTTTTATGCACAAATCGAGAATATCGAGCAATACTCATGAGAGAACTCTCATATATATATATATGCTCATGACTATTTTTGTGATTGGCGAGTTTGCTCGCGTGATATAAAAGCAAAAAAAAAAAAAGTAATTTCTGATTTTCCCGCCTTATAATAGAGCCCGAATTTCTAGAAAATCGTCAGAAAAAAATTAGAGCAGAATCCACGTGTCTATTTTGACGCGATGTCGAAAATTTAAGCATTTCGCGAGAGAAAAATGAAGCGATTGAGCAAAAAGAATTAGGTTATCTGGGCCTTGCCCAAATAAACAAACGAAAAACGGGCCCAAACTGTTCTTTTACGAATATTATTTGGGCCTTGCCCGTTCCAAAGAAACTGCCCAAAACTGTCCTTCGGTGGCCTGGGGCCTTTCTTGATTCCTCATCGCACTCAAGAGTTCCCCCCTCCGTGCGCGAATGCACTTCTTATTTTACTAAGAAATGATTGAAGAAGATCCCCACGCAACGGGCCGTCCAAGATTTTTTTGTTACGACGTCTGAGGTTGTCTAAGAACCTGACAAAAGTATCGTGTCGGGCTTAGATTATTGAGATGGGTATGCTTTTGTCTTTGGGGTGGTTTATCATCGCATGATTCCGACGTGCCGACCCGATTCACCGCAGGACTATTGACCGTTGAATGATAATGCAGGGCTCATGCGAAACTCGTCACATCAATGATCGAGACTCGAAGGATTCATGTATCAAGCCGCCCATTTTTTGTTGCCTTTTAGATATTCTTTTTTTGGCTTGTTGGGAAATTCGAGAAATATTCTTTTTGGGTGATTCTAAATTCACCTCTAAAATGGCTTCATTCACCTCCTTAGAAAATGGAAAATACCAGATTATCTCCACTTGTGGGTCCCATTCCTCGCCTTCTTTATCTCCACCCAATCTTTGTGCTTCATTGGCTCACCTCTATTTTGTTTAGGGATATGTGTACTAAAAAGTGCAATCAAGCCTTAAAATTTGTCAAATTGATTTAAGTCCTTCCGTTAACTCCATCCAGCTTGGCTAATGGAAAATGTTGACGTGATTTTTTTAAAATATGTTTTCTCTCTTATATGGCGATGACGTGGCTAAAACACGAAACATAAGGCTCAAACGATGTTGTTTTGGTTTAAATATAATTTTAAATACAAACTTTATCTTAATTAAATTTTAAAAAATAAGCTAATTTTATTTTTTAAAGAGAGAGTTTGAACCAGGCGGTGAGGGCTTTGTGTCGCCCCACCATCGCAGGGAAGGGCCGACGATGGTGGGGAAATGGTTGGCAAGGGTCACTGGCCCCCTGCCAAGGGCCGCCCAATCCTCGCTGGTGGTGGCCCTCAGCCAGAACTAGACAAGGGTAGTCGGCCCCTGGCTAGGGCCCGATTACCCCCGCCAACCATACTTCCACCATCGCTAACCCTTCCTGGCGATGGTGGGACAGCGCAAAGCTCTCATCGCTTGGTTCTAACTTTCTTTTTAATTTTTTTTATATAAAATTTGTAGTAAAAATCAGATTTAGACCAAAAAAACAATGTTTTAGTTTTATGGGACGACAATGCATTCTAACTCTTTTTTTTTTAATTTTAGCTGCTTTTTTTATTTAATTTAACTAAAATTTATATTAAAAATCATATTGTCCAAAATGACGTCGTTTTAGCCACGTCATCACTATGTATGATAGAGAGAAAAAAAAAGCCACATCAATATTTTCAGTTAAACAAGTTGGAATGATTAACAGAAAGACTCGATTGCACCAATTCTATAAGTTATAGAATTTGATTGCAGTTTTTATAAGTTTTAAGACTTAATTATATTTTTAGGACTTTCAATGAACATAGCTCTTTTACTTTTATATTTCCTTCTTCTAATAATAGCTAGCAAGGGGCCCAAATTTTTTTTTTTTGGTGTTTTAAAGTTGTTCTGGCTACATTGAAGTAAAGTGTGTGATCAACAAAATTGTGTCGGTGAGCCAAAGTTGAGCCTCTCTTAGAAATTGCTAGTGACAACCTCAAACATCTTGAATGCCTGTCATTGATGGAAAAAGTGACTTGATAAAATCCAATGAAAGCCCACGAAGAGAGGACGAGAATTAAAAAATCTTGGGAAAATTCTGATTAAGGATCCCAAGTGGGGCCTTTTTCTCAAAAGAGAACCCCAAGTGAATATAGTGTCAAATAAGAGTCTGAAGTGCCCAATCAGTTCCAATAGGGGGAAATGTCAATTAGTCTCAGTAAGGGCTGAGGTTCGCCGGCCGGTCAAATGCTCTGGCCGTGGCAGCACGGTCTTGTTAGCTGACCTAGGAAAAGGGCGTTTCGTCTTTTTCTTCTTCTTTTTTGCTTTTTTTTTTTTTTTCCTTTAATTTTCCTTTTCTGTTTTTTTTTCTTCTCTTCCCCAATGGCCGGCGACCTCCGCCGGCCATAGCCGAGGCCGGCGGAGGTTGCCGACCTCAGCAAGTGAGCCTCCCGCTCGGCGAGGGCCGCTCGCCGGGCTAGGCGAGGGCGGCCCTCGCGAGATCCGACAAGGGCGAGGGTCGCCCTCACCGATCCGGCGGGCGGCCGGCGAGGGCCGACCCCGCCCGCCCTGGCCGAGGGCCGCCCCGGCCCCTCGCCCGCGGCGAGGTCGCCGCGCCTAGCCCTGGGCCGAGGGCGGCGTCGCCTCCCTGCCGCCGGCGAGGGCGAGCGACCTCGCCGAGGAGCCCCGCAAGGTCGAGGAGGCCCTCACCCGCCAGCCCCAGGGCAAGGGCGCCCTCGCCCCTCGACGAGGCGAGCTCGAGGTCGGCGACCTCCGCCGGCCCCGGCTATGGCCGGCGCAGGTCGCCGGCCATTGGGGAAGAGAAGAAAAAAAATAGAAAAGGAAAAAAAAAGCAGAAAAAAAGCAACAAAAAAAAGAAGACGAAACTGCCCTTTTTTCGGTCGCCGGAACAGTAATCGTGCTCGCCGGCCGGCGAGCATTTAACCGACCGGCGAACCCAGGCCCTTACTTGAGACTAATTGGGCACTTCGGGCCCCTATTTGAGACTGATTTGGCACTTCAAACCCTTATTTGATACTATGTTTACTTGGGGGCCTTTTTTTTCAAAAAAGGACCCACTTGGAGTCCTTAATCAGAATTTTCCCAAAAATCTTGGACAAGAAAATGGGTGTTTTTTCGAGGCTTGTAAATTGAGAGGAGAGAGAGAATAAACGGTGTCTCGTTGTAGAGTGGGAAGAGGTACATGAAGCAATTCATGAAAGAACGACAGGCATTCTCGATCTCGCACTCCATGTACCTCCGTGCGTTGCACATCATCATGTTTGCCCTCCGCCAATTCACCAACGGCGAGACCACCCTCCACCTCCACAGCTGTCCCGTGTCACTCGTCGTTGCTGCTACCCTCTCCGCCACGGCCGAACCCCACCCCCTCTCATGTTAGAATAATATAAAATTGATTATTGAATATCTGAGCATGTTGGTTTTTGAGCTACAGATTTGTTTGTTGGTATTCTTCAAGGATTACCTTGATTTATGGTGGGCGTCAGAGGTGGAATGAAATCGAATCGGCGAAGCACGATTCATGATAGGCGCTGAAGAAGAATGAAGAGAAGAGGAGGAAGAAGACGCAAGCATTTAATGAAGAAGAGCACCTTCTACAACAAGAAGTCAAAGAAGGCTAAGAGAACTCATTCCACGCCGGTCTTCAAGCATTTATTTTGTGTGTTTTCTTTTTGACTTTGTTTGTGTGCTTTGTGGACTTCCTTGTTTTTCTCATTTCATGTTATCAGAGCAAATGTCTAAGTTATGTACACTTCCAACCGCTAGAAGAGGTTGTGAACTTCAGATTTGTAGTTGCACCCGAAGAAAAAGCATTTGTGATTCAATAAGTTCTCCATCCTCCGGTCTTTATCCGTGCGCCTGTTCAAAACTTCCAAAATTATTATAATTCCTTTTTGGTTCCAACATCTCAGTCCTAGCTTCAACACCTAGACCTCCAACCTCGTCGTGACTGCCTCCCGGCCTTGCCGCCCCTACCTCCTCCTTCAGTCAAGAATTTCCTCCCTAGGTTTTCTTCTCTCTTTTTTAAGGAAATGGTGTCATTATTTCTGTTGACTTTGCAACCAATTATCGAATCAATTCTAACGCCGTGAACAATATAGCCAGAAAAATAATATAAAACAGCTATTCCAACAAATAGAGTTAAACTCTGGGCATGGAAATCACCAGTAGAGTCGCATAGCATCTCCAGTTGCATTTACATCCTCTTGGTCATTGGAGCGCCAAACAAACAGCCGGAAGGATTCTGGTTGAGCGTCCTCGACCCGAGCAGTGCGGGCTTTGAGCTCCAAGCAGCGAGGTTTGGTGGGTGAGGGTAGAGGCGCACACGAGCAGCAAGAAGAGAGGGGGAAGAGAAGGAAAGCGACGCAAGGAGCTGATGAGAGACGACGAAAGCGGGGAATGGGACCCATGATTTAACTAATTCCGTCCCTTCAATTTTCTAGTGGTAGATTAGGGCGACCATTCTTTTGTCTTGGTGTCTCGAATTAATTGAAACCAAGAGCTTTACCTTTCATGAACAGAGTATTGTCGCCTCGTACAAATTCTTTTTCGGGGCTTTCAGATATTTGGACTCGGACAAACTCTCGTGGACACGTGGAAACCCCTCTGTCCATGTGCATCGGAGAAGGTTACTTCGTTTGTGTAGTAGTGGTCGGGGTCCA